AAAAAATACGTTTTTGAGGAAGAAGAAGAAGTAGTATTTTTTTTTTTTTTTAGACTTTAGAAACTCAGAAGCTGATCAAATATCGGGTTAAATATCGGTGGGGTGGCCGATGTCCGATATTCATTTTTATGGCCGATACCGATAGGGGGCCGATTATATCGTGCATCCCTAATGCATTTCCTTTAAGAGTTCCAGCGTGATCTATTGTAACCAGGGACTCCCTTTTTCCAATAAAGAGCAAATAAGACAGCAGAGGTGCTTCAGAGCGGTGGGAGACTGGAACTGATGCCATGTCTGCTGCTCTCCCCGCGGGTAAAAATAATCTAATGTCTCTTGTCCTTCTTCCCAGGTTATTTGAGAAGTATTTGGGTGTTTAAACCTAGAGGCCTGGTCATCCTCCCTCAGCAGCTTGTTGGAGATATTTTTGATTTATGCCCAATATTGAAGCGTGGTCTGAGCTATGTTATTCCACGCCACAACACAAGAGGGACAATCAGGAACTAGCTGTGGGTCTAGATAAGGCCAAGGCGGTGAGGAAGTGGGGGCGAGTTTGTGCGACAATGGAGGGACATGAGGGCCGAAAAAAGCGGGGATCCAGGTGGAAAAAGGGTCCCAGCGTTCTCGCGCTCCTCGCTCTTCTAGCTGGTCCATCTTCACCAGTCGTTTTCCACAATGGCGGTCAGACAAACAAAACAAGCCGGTAAGGAACCAAACAGGAAATACGCATAATGTAGAGCGGATGTAGATTTGACCAATCAGAGGCCTCCTGTCTGGGATCACCTACAATTTTGGAGAGGTGCAGCAGAGTGTCTGTGGAAGGGGGCGGCATATTTGCATTCACTGTGACAGAAACGCAGACGACCTGGTTTCTGATCATAAATCAACCTTACCAGTACTCTGAGTGTTAGGTAACCAGAGACGCAGCCTGAAGGTAAAGGTCTGAATGCTCTGAGTCCATGATGTGGAGCAGGCATCTCCAAAGTCGGTCCTCGAGGGCCGCTATCCTGCAGGTTTTAGAGGTTTCTCTGCTTTAGCACAGCTGATTCTGATGATTGCAGTTCAACAATAGCCTGTTACTCAGCTATCGATGTGAATCAGCTGTGCTGGAGCAGAGAAACCTCTAAAACCTGAAGGACAGCTGCTCTCCAGGAATATGCCAGATGTGGGGGGTCGGCAGAGATGCTAGCTGACATTTTCCTGACCCTAGACCTGTACAGGTCCTGGAGGCTGGTAGGTCAGCCCTATTGGTTCTCTCTGTAAACATGATTGTTTGCTGCAGTTTAGATCCGTTCTTCTTTGCCTGTTGTAGAAAAACTAATGAAAATACATTTAAAATCAGCTGATTCTGCTGCTTTAAGGAACAGACAGAGCTGATGACTAACATGGCCTGATATGAGAGGGTAACCTTCAGTAGTAGAGGGAGAGAAGGTCTCTACAGTCAGGTTTGGGGGGGGTAGTTTTGAATTATAAAGAAGACATGACAGGATAAATATGAAACTTTACCAATTTGATTTGCTCAGAGGTCAAGGTTTTATATATGGTATAACATAGGACCTTGGTTAGTCTTGGGTTCGATTTTGTTTTTTTTTTCTTTGTTATTGTTGTTGTTCATTGTGTTTTGTTATTTCCTTGATATACTCAAAAGGGACTGAAACTGATTTATATCTATAATCTTCTTTATTTCATTGATTTCTATGTTCATCTGTCTGCCAAAAAGACTAATTAAAAATAAATAGAAAAAACAGAAAAACTGATGCATGTTGCCACAGCTTGATGTTCATTCAGGTCGTCTGATTGAAAAGTCCAAACTTCTTCCACATATTTTCTCACTCTACATCAGGTGTTTCTGTTATAACGATGTATCTAAGGGGAGAAGAAGGCAGCAGCAGTCCTGCTCTGATCTTACTGCGGCTGTGTTGGGTGCGCTGGAAGCCAAGCTGGGAGTCCTTGTTCAGACCCATGCCCCAAAGTTTGGTCACATCTTTGGTTGAAGATGCCATGAGGGTGAAGCCGTAACCGCAGGCAGCAGATGAAATCTGAAAGAGGAGAGCAGAGGTTGTCTGTAGGGATATCTGGATATGATACCGATATGCGAAATTAGTACAGTAGCTAAAAGCAAATATGGGAATACATCTGATGCCTTTGTCCTAAATATACGATATGAGAAAACTAATAGAAAGACTCCACATCAATCCGCTGCTGTTGAAGTTAATTAAATTTAGCAACCAGAGTCCACTTTGACATCCTGCCCAGTTTGATGCTGCTGCTAAAAGATTTCCTGATTGGTCAAACCGATGCTAAAGTAGAACTTCACATGATGCTCCACATTCCTCATTAGAGGGAAGAAAGGGCTTCTGGGAAGAGTTGTCAAATTACAACTTTATTCTCATAATTTTAAGACGTTATTC